GTTAACTGGATTCCAGTTCATGTGAGTCTATGTGTTGAGTGGATTCCAGTACATGTGATCCATGTAGGTTGAGTGGATTCCAGTTCATGTGATCCATATAGGTTGAGTGGATTCCAGTCCATGTGATCCATGTAGGTTGAGTGGATTCCAGTCCATGTGATCCCATGCAGGTTGAGTGGACTCCAGTTCATGTGACTGCATATGTATTGAGTGGATTCCAGTTCATGTGATCCCATGTGGGCTGACTGGATTCCAGTTCATATTCTCCTATGTGAGTTGGGTTAGGACTGTGTTCCAGAGGATATCCCTGGACTTATTTTTTTGGGTGTCAGTTGCCTTTCTTCTAGGGTACTTGGGGTGGACTTGAACCACTGCCTTTTGGCTAACAGCTGAACGTTCACCACTCACATATTCCTAACTCTCATTAGCATGTTTTTACCCCTGTGTCACTTGGGTTCTACTTATTGCTGCTTATGCTTCACAGAGAAGTGAGAGGCACTGTTGTGTTTTAAGAGCACCTATCACTCCTGCCTGCTGTGTGGACTTGAACAAAGTGTGCAGATTCTTTGTATCGTTCTTCATCTCATAGTTTATTAAATAGTTGCTTTGATAATGAATATGGTGGCCTCTTCTAGGCGGTATAGCCCTGGTCTGTCCATTTGCTGTACAGAGGTAACTCGTGGTTGCTGTGAAGCTGAACACTGTGACACTGGTGCGTCAAAAGCAAGAATGGTTACCCATGATGGACAGTGTTTGGTGGGGCTCCCTGATTAAACAAGCTTGGAAGCAGGAGCGGCATCCACTTCCAAAAGAGCTTGCCTCTGGAAACCCTATGAACACGGAGAAATGAGAAAAGTTATACAAGTGTTCAGGTCTTTCATTCATAGGGTCACCGTGAGTCATCTACAACTACTTGGCACTTAACAGCAACAACAGTAACAGCAGGTGGCACAAGATAGGACAGGGTTTTGCTCTGTTTTTTATAGGGTGGCCAGGAGTCATACTTGACTCCATGGCACCTAACAACAACGTTGGTAATAAGTTGTTCCAACAACCAAATGTATGCACTGTGAATCTACTGGCTTCAACACAGGAGAAAGTCAGTCTCTTCCCATTTAATTAACTGCCTGTGAATATTCTCTAGAGGGTCAGCTATGGGCCTGTTCTGACTTGACAGCCTACCACCACCACGAGAAGCAGTGCCTTCAGGCAGTAACTGACACCAAGTACTCACCTGCTCAATAAACATTAAATAATCTCTGAATATGTAAAGATGGCAGGGCTCCATTATATCTTGATAAATGAAGCAGAGATGAAGAGTTGGCACAGGTTTAAAAATAATATTGGGGGAGTAGTTCCCATTGAAGGTTCAAGAACTCCCTTTGCTGTTAATGGAGTACAATTGAACATGTGCTTTAGATCATTAAATAACCATGGCTTTTCCACTGATGTAATATCTTGCAAGAGTGGAAGGGGCCCTTTGTGGACAGGAGAGCTGTGCTAAAAGGTAATGATACCAAAGTCAAAAGCAAACCCAAGTCACTGCTGTGCAGTCATGTCCAACTCATGGTGACTCTCCATTGGGTGTCTGAAGCTGTTTCTTAACAGGAGTAGACAGCCTCATTTTCCTGGTATGGAGTAATAGGTAGATTTGAACCACTGAACTTTCTAGTAGCAGCTTAACACTTAATCCACTGTACCACAGGGCTGGAATGACACTGAATCATTTAAATTTAACCAGTACTTGTATCAACTCAACAAGTCCTCTTGCTTAAGACAGAATATTCCATAGTAACCTGAGCCTTGTAAACAGTATTGTTGACTGTGGGAACTCCAACATTGAGTTGACTAGCCAAAAAATCAGACTTTTCATGACTAAATTGTAGGAAAAATTAGAAGCTAAAGCAAAACAAAGTAGCGGTATGATTGCTAAACTGGATCAAAAATGAGGAAGAACATTTTTCTTTTGACTTATGGGATAATAGACACGCTTTTGAACCATGATTCACTCCAAGAAAGAAGTGTGAAAGAAACATGTCTAGTTTTAAGACTCTGTAGTCAGTCATCTTGGGCATCATTCTTTATCACTGCAAACAAGAGTTCAGGGAAGTCATTAAGAAGCAGTATTGTAGATGCAGGTGTGCCTTTCAGGATCACAACAACGTGTACCCTAGCAAAATGTTGTTGTTGTTGTTATGTGCTGTCGAGTCGTTTGCGACTCATAGCGACCCTAGCAAAATAGCAAACATTTATTGAGCATTTTTTAAAAACACTGTACTCAAACCTTTACCATATAGGGCACAGATATAAAAAAATAATGTTTGAATTAAACAGTCTGTGTATAACCAATGGTAATGCCATCTGAAATTTTGGCTTTTATTATAAGAGTTGTAAGCTGGTCACCAAAGCAATGAAAGAAGGAAAAATATTTGCCAATGTTCATATTTGGGGTATCGGGGTTATTTGATAGAAGTTTTATTTTAATAAACATTAAACATGAGATAAATCTGAACTTAGAAGTATATATTGCTTACATAATCACCAAAGTCCATATTATGAAAACAAATTTTAAAAATTAGGTATTATTGTCTTTATTAAGTAGCATAAAATTTTAAAATTAAGTATAAATAAGTAATTATGTTAAACTACTTAAATATGTTACATAAACATACCTAGAATATTCTTGAAAATATTGGATAAAACAAAACAGGACAAGTTCTACTTTGCCCATTTCCCCCTGAATACCCAACAAAGTCCTGTTTTTGTTCATTTTTGAGCACGCCGAAGCACATAAAGTCTACCTTATCTGTTTCCTTCATCAGCTTTTTCCTATTTCTGTTTTCATCAAAGGAGCTGGTGGCTGGTCCCCGCTTGTGTCAAACAAATACCAGTGGCTGCAGATTGACCTTGGAGAGAGGATGGAGGTCACTGCGGTGGCCACGCAAGGTGGATATGGGAGCTCCAACTGGGTGACCAGCTACCTCCTGATGTTCAGTGACAGTGGCAGGAACTGGAAACAGTACCGACAGGAAGACAGCATCTGGGTAAGTTTCTTTAACAAAAGACTTGGCATCTCAGGGTAAGCAGTATAACAATTTCTGCATGCTCAATAAAGTAATGAAGCAGAATCTTCAGAATTACTTTGAGTTTGTTTTCTTCTGAGATGAATATGGCAATGTATTTCTTTTCTAATGCGTTTCCCTGTATATGAAAATACTGTTGGTGGTGGTGTGTACTGTCAAGTCAGAACTGATCCATCGCTGACCCTCAGAAGCAGGTTATTGTTGGAGAGGAGATTACCCATCCTTCTCCTGCGGAGCAGCTGGTGGATTCGGATTCACCCTTGGACCTTGCCCATCATCATTCTTTTTACCTGGATCCTTCCCGTTCCCTCCACTCCTTCCTTCCACCCACCAAACTGTTGCATTCTTCCTGGATGATATTCTTGTTACCCTCCCACAGCTCACCTGGTCTTTGCTCATTAGTGCTCAATGCCTCAAATCCATTCTTGAGAGTTTTTTTTTATTTAGTAGGATAGACTCAAGGTTTTTGGTTCTTGTGAATTTATTTTCATTTTCATTAGCTTCAGTTTGAACTTGCACACGAGGAGTTGATGATCTGTTCCTCAGTATGCACCTGGCCTACTTTTCACAGCTGACATTGAGTTTCTCCAGCAATTCTTTCCTCAGATGTAATCAGTCTGATTCCTGTGTATTCTATCAAGTGATGTCTATGAGTATAGTTGTTGTTTGTTGTTTTTTAGAAAATATATTTACATGAATAAATCATTGATTGTGCTAAATTCTATCATTTTCTCTCCAGCTTCATTCCTGTCACACCAAGCCCCTATTTCCTGACTACTGACTACTGATAATACTTCTTCCTTCCTAACTTTTATATTGTAGTCACCAATTATTATTAATGAATCTTGGTTGAATGTTTGATTGATATGTTGTTTTGTGATGTTGAGTCAGAATTGACCTATAGATGACTGTTCAGTGGGTTTTCAAAGACAACAAGTCACACAGGAGGAGACTGTCCAAGCTTTATCCCATGGAGCAGCTGGTGGATTCGAACTATGTGCCTTTGGGATTGTGGCACAGTGTCTTACCACTAGTCCACCAGAGCACTCTCTTTTTTTCTTTCCTTCTCTTTCTCCATCTCTCTGTTTCTCTCTCACTTAAATCTCTTTCTCTACCCCATTGAAAATGAGTGTCCTCTAGTTCATTGCTGTTGAGTGGACTTCTACTTGTGTGGGTTGTGAACAAGACATAGCTCTCCTAAAGGGAGACTTGCTATGAGCCAGGTCACAATGAAGTGTATGATATTTGTACTTGAGATTTTCTGGAAGGTGCAAATGGTTAAACCTCACAGGTATTAACGAACAGATTGGCCGCTGAAAATCATAAGGCACACGGTTGTACTCTGATACTCATGGGATTGCCTTGAGTTGACTTTGGAGTTTTGTTCTTGGTCGACTGATAGAGGAGACAGCTGAAAGAGTTTGCTAGGTGGAAAAAGAAAGGTCTTCTTTGTTAGTGTAGAAAATATTGCCTTAGATTTTGTGTGGTCCAGGAACAACATACTGGCTTTTCCCTTCTGTCTGACCTGCCATAACTAGAGGAAGTGAGTGGCTTGGCGCTGCATCATTCTCGGCTCACAGGTAATTTGGGAGCCCATTTGGTCAGGTAATGATAATGTTCTTGGACTAGTCAATTGCCTTTTTTCGGAAACTTTGTAGAGTCGGGTTATACATTATAAACTCATTGAAGAAATGGACTGTGAATTACTTGCTTTTGTATCTCTCAAGCACTTTGTGGCCGTTCAATATGTGTCTATTCATGTAAATGGAATTGAGAAGAAGCAGTTCTACTCTTTCTTTGGAGAGAACAGGAGTGGGACTGCATGATACAGCTTAAAAAGCTTTGGGGGAAAAAATAATCTGCCTTCAAATTCAAAGCAAATTGTGGCTGTGTACATGAGCACAGAAAACAAGATATTGGTGTTTAGTTGATGCCATGGAAACCATTCACATTAGGGTTAAAATAAACAATAATTATGAAGCAATAATGATGAAAGCTTGGTTGTTGTTTTGTTGTTAGCAGCCGTGGCGTCGGCCCTGACTCATAGTTACTCCACGCACACAAGCTTAAGGAAGGTATTTATTTTAACTAGGTGTTTGGGTGCTGTTCTGCCCCCTTCTCGAAATCCAACGTTGACATTTTAACTAGATAAGTAGTGACTAATGCATACAGCTGTGCCAATTATAATTTGTGTTTTTGATGTTTTTTGACATGATAAATCAACCATGAAAGTTCTTTTTCTCTCCCTGTTAACCAGACCTAGAGAAAGGCAAGCAGAAACATTGCCATTTGCGTCCTTGCTTACTTTGATTAAAGGTGAGGGGCTCATGGTGAAATAATGGCATCAATGGTACGTTTGCTCATCTACAACAATGACAGGAGGAACAACTGTTACAACCGCCTGAAGAAAACAGGATTTTGTTTGTTTCAGACCATGATGTAGTGGTTCGTTTGCTCACTGTTTCCTTTTTGCAGTGTGAGAAGAGGGAGATTCGATCATCTAAACTTTCAATACACTACCTCCAATGTCTTATAGTATCTGAATTGATGCAAGCAGACACCATACATATTTGTTGAGTGAGTAATGATGAATGAGTGAAATACACTTTCTGGAGGGCATTTTTTCACACCATGTTAGCTCGAAGTTTCTGCCTTCCCTTTGCAATCATCTCTTCCATGGAGCACATTAAGTTCAACCAGTACAATGTACATTTCTCTTCCTTCTATATTTGAGCTTTTCTGTGGTATAGGGTTTCTCTCATTGTTGCATTTTCAGCACCATAAACCTTGTGCTAGGAAGTTCAGTTTATGAAGTCCATAGGGAGATGCACTATAACCCAAAGGCTAAGACTCTCTGACAGTTCCAATCTACCAGCAGGCCTGAGGGGGAAGAGGATAATCTCCTCTCAAGTGATTTATAGACTTCCTTGGACACCCAATGGCAGGTCTTTTATGAGTTAGTTCCAACTTGATGGCAATGAGTTGGAGGATTTTTTTAATACTCTGGTGTATGACTTGTTAATGACTTCGTTATTGAGTAGATTTGAGTCTATTAATAATCTCCTATTCTGTTTTTCTTTCTTTCTTTTGGGAAGGTTGAAAGGGTTATTGTCAAAATCACTGAAGATATCAAATGCGTACAAACAAGATAACTTTTTAAAGGAGTTTGTAAATGGGAGGTACAAACTAAGAAATTTGGAAATTGAAAAAGTATGAACATTGTAGATGGAATTGGTCAAGGAAGCAGAACTTCCTTTACTCTGGAAAAGTATTTTAATTTGTGTTATGGAAGGATTGAAGACATTATTCCAAGATGCTGGGAAAGAAAGAATAAAAGTGTGGCGATGGGAGATATGCAGAGATACCTGGTTTCCCATGTCGTAGCCAGGGAGACAGCTAACCAGATTGGTCTGACAGTTGGGAATGATTAGAAGATTATGTTGGGTGTAGTCAAGGAAGATATGGACAACTTTGACTGCTAAATTAAAAACTTAGACTTGATGCAATAGATATCATGGCATAGCATAAAACACAAAACAGGCTATGCAATAACAACCCCCCTAAATCTAGAGAACTCAGTGTATGTGAGTGCCTGTTTTGCATGAAATTATCTCAGGTTGATTGCAAGATTTTGTTCTACTGCCTAGTTAGGTAGGTCCCACCCCATAGGGAGCTCTACGCCACTATGAGCTACAATTACTGCCAGGGCAGGAAAACAAAACATGGTGAATTGTGCCCTGGCTTCTCAGTTTTCCATCCGGAAGAGACGTGAATCACTTCAATTCACATTTCTTTAGCCAAGGAACGGTTTCTAACTGATTGACTTAGTAAGAGATATAATCCTTTGTCACATTTTACAATTTGCCTCCATACTTAACATTTTTCTTCTTTTTTTGATGTTACCCCCAGTATTTCTAGATATTGTGAAAAATGCACACATTATTTAAAATGTGCCTATTTCTTTCGAGAGCTTCACAGTCTGTTCCAGATTGTACAAATTCTCTTTTCATCTGATCCCACTTCAGGCCGGAGAGAGAACAATGACTCATACATACCTGAAAGAATTAATAAAATGCTCGGCTGCTTCTTACAAATAATCTTTAAGAAGAAAGACAAAATGCTTTCATTTTTTTATCTATACAGGTCATGCACATATTTAATAGAAATATACACTTGGAAGATATAAAATACTTTTAAAATTACACATTAAAATATGTCTGCAAAATAGAATTTATAGTTTACCATCCATAAAATAGAATTTATACAAAGTACTGTACTGGATAGCATATAAATATTTTATGAAAATTGAAAAAACACAAGCCAGTCAATTTGTTCCCTTTAAGTTGAAGACAAAATTCCTCAACATCTTTAATCAAAAGACTCTTTTTAACAATTTATTTTTTAAAACTCAAAACGACTCATCGCCTTTAATTGGAACCATCGCTGACCTTCCAGTGGGTTTTCAGAGGCTGAAAAAGGCACAGGATCTTCCTGACTTTTGTAAAGCAGTTGGTGAATTTGAACCGCCTGCATTTGGCTTGGCAGCGGAACTCCTTATGGACTAAAGTCATTGAAAAAAATTATTATAAAGAGTAGTTTATACTCATTTAAGAACAATTACTGAATATTTATAGAACCCATACCTTGGAAATGATTTTCAATGAGATCAACATATAGAGGGCATTGTGAACGAATTATTCACATGATCTCCCACATAGCCAAGACTCTTCTCCATTGCAGATTGCAAGGGACAAAGTGATTCCAATTTATTTACATATTTAAACACTTAAATATGTAATTTAAACACTTAAATATTAAATTTAAAGATATCAATAATGGATGATGTTAAAGACAAAAATAGTTCCCATTTTCTTTTTTTATTTTTTAATGAAAGCTTTTAGTTGCACGTGGTTACCCAAACAAAAAACCTTCAGTGTTTTTGAAAGTTAATAAATCTATGC